GAGGTTTGGAGGTGTGGAGTTGTGGTGGAAGCAGGCTCTGGAAAGCAGAACCAGAAACTGGCTTCTTCTCCCTGAGTCATCTGGCCCAGGCTCCTGCCTCCAAGCACACCCTGCCGGCAGTGTCTCTATCTGGCCAACTGCTTTCTCAGCTCTCCAGGGATGGAGATTCCACAGCCTCTCTCTGTTGTCTGTTCCAGAGCCACTCCCCTTAGTTCTTAGAAGTTCTTGCTTTCAAAGAATGGGAGTGTCGAGAAACAGAAAGGAGACAAGAGGAGCAGAACAAATTAGGGCAAAGGACCCCAGCAGGAAGAGGAGTTGCTGAAGGTGGGGAACAGCATCCACATTTCACACTTCCTTCTCTGACTTCAATCAGTGTAAGCAATTGGCCCCCAGACATGTGTGGACGGAGGAAGGTAGAACCAGCCATCTGGGGACCCTGTCCTCCCACATCCCCTGACTGGCACAGGGGAGTCCATTCTGCTCTGAGAAAGCAGTGTGCATCCAGACATCCAGAACTGCCCTGGAGGAGCTGTGTTTTATTCAAAAGCCTGTAACTTTAGCAATCTCCCCTTCAAAGGAATGTTCTGTAATTGAAGGCATGCTCCATACCCACTCTATTGTGTTTCACGCACTCTGCCAAAATAATTACTTTTCACACCAACTCTTGGATATAGATAAACCTTGGGTAGTCCAAGGAGGATAGAGCCAAGGAAAGTTATCACCTCTTGCTCCATGAGACTTTTCCATCAGCTTCCAGCCTCTCAGTCACATACCCAGAAGCAAGCCAAAAAATCCACCCACCCCAAAACATACCCCAAAGCCCAGGCTCCTTGTTCCTGCTCGGTACTCAAGCCATAGGGTATCTGACCTATCTTACACCACTAGTTATCTGGCTGTCACAGCTCCACAGAACATCACAGTAGGAGCAGCAAGGTGGGCAGGACTGGGTGGCAGGTGGGAGGAAGAATAGGAGGGGTGGCTGCAGAAACAGAGCAGGGATGGCAGCTGGCAGGGAGCCTGCCTCAGGCCTGCCATTGCCACTCCTCACTGAGGGCCTAGCATGCCCAAAGGGTTCCCCCACCCACCTGCCCCCTATTCCATACCACCTTAGTCCTCCCTTGAGCCTTGACTCCCTTTCCAAGCTGGCTTCCCACTCCCATTTCCTTCGGGTGGCCTCAAGCTGCACTGAGGTTCAGACTGCCTCCCAGCTTAGAGGAAGAGTCCTTTCCTGTCAGAATCCAGGTCTGTGCTGGTGATGGCTTTTGGCTGAGGTGATCGCAGTGGAGCTCTGAGCGCCACTGTGAAATTGTACTCCAGCCAGCTGCAATAGACTCCCTGCCTCTGGGAATCTAAGAAAGGAGAAGCCCAGGACTTTCCCAGAGGATGGGGGCCAGCTCTTGAGATTCCTCTTAGCACCAGGACCTGATTTTAACATGGCCACACCAAGATACAGGTTCTCTGCAGGTGCCTTGAAGGCAAGGGCTTCTGCCCCTCTTGTGTCAGCCCTGTTCCCAGGTGGACTTTCCTCTCCCAGCAGAGATGGTGCAGTAAGAATGGGTGAGGGGCAGCTCCAACCCTGCCCCACAGACACTTGATGGGGCGGGGGGGTGTACAGGATCTTGGGTGGGTGACAAATTGCCCTTGCAACACGTCACACTTCTGAAGTGTCCTGTGCATTTTTAATAATTCTTAACCATGAAAAACTTGTACTACACTTTAATAAAAAATTTTTGTTTGCATTTTACTTTTGTAGTATTTGGGGTTTTATAGATTTTTTTAATTTTATGGCCAAGTATACTTTTGTAAGGAAATGTTGAAGTCTTGAGTATTTTTATCCTTTTAGAAAACTACAGTTAATGTCAGCTGTAAGCACTGATAAATATTATCCATGTACAATTTTTCTTCCTTTCATTCGGGACTTTTTAAGAAACTGTGTTTTGGCATCGTGTTTTATTTAAAACGCTGCTTCATTTTACACATTGTGAACACTGAAGATTCTGAAAAATAAGGATGCATTTAAAATCTCTGTGCTCTTACGTTGTAGAAATGGTAATGTGCATTGCTTTGCCAAATTGGTAATTAAATACTTAATGGTTTAGAACTCCTAGTTCAGAATAGGGGTTCTCGGCATCACTCGCAGAGCAGAGCTTCCAAACGAGCCTCCATCTCTCTGGAAAATGGACTTCAGGATGGTGATCTCCTGCTCAGTTAGGAAATATGGCTGTGTTGACTTTACGGTTGTCGTGCTTGTGGTTTTGCAATAAATGTGTATTGGAAGCACTTGTGATAACGTGGTCCGTATTTTGTTTTTAATCAAACTCCAAATGGCAGAAAAAGTGGAGCCAAAGCTTCCTGAGCGTTCAGGCAGCAAAAAGTGGTGGGAAAAACAAGAGCTTGGAAACAGAGGCAGCTGGGCCAGTCCAGCTCTTCCACTAACAAGCTCTGAGAACTTGAGATTCTTTTATTTATTTTGGAGACCTGGTGTTCTCATCCACTAAAAAAAAAATAATACTGATTAAAATCAAGAAGGGAAATAATTACATTTACCTCATGTGTGTGAAAGTTATCAGATCAAAATGGAGTCACTGTGGCAAACCCTGACAAATGGAGCAGGGAAGGCCAGAGGAAGGTTCTCAGGGACACTGCCTGATAACAAAGACTAACACAAAAGACTCTGCCAAGGAGACTGGGGATGTAGCTCAGTGGTGGAGCACTTCCCTAGCATGCACAAAGCCCTGGTCTCCATCCCAACACTGCAACAAAAGAGAGAGAGAGACAGAGAGAGACAGAGAAAAAGCAACCTGTATCACAAAATCACACTTATCCAAAGATATTTGTCCATTAACTGTCCAGCCTTGAATTGGTGACTCCTTTCTCAGCCATCCTCATAGCCAAGGACGATTGTTCCAAAATGACCTATGTAACCACCCCCATTCTCCTTTTAAAAACTTTCCCCTGCCTCACAAGCACAAGGTCCCGAGTTCGATCCCTGGTACCAAAAAACCCCAAAACTTTCCCCTGCCTCAACCTCCTCAAATACACTCATAGTTTCACTATGGCACACATGGTCCCACTGCAATGTCCACTCCTGAGGAAATTTGTTATCCTTCTCTGTTTGTTATTTATACAGCACACATGGATTTTTGTGATGATGGAAAAAAGTGATGAACATGAAATGCCCTGGAAAACTTAGCTGCCCAATAGAGATTGTTTGCCTACTTCCTTTCCATCCCTCTTGTATCCTTCTCAGAGCCTTCAGCATAGAATACATATCGTATTTATGTCCTTAATATGATATCCTGAATATTTTCCCAGGACAAGGGAAACTTTTATAATTTAAAATAATATATTCTATTGTTGGATAGAAGGTTGTCCCTGAGGAGATATAGCCCAGGGAATACATTGTTGTGTATTTTTCTTTGTTCTAGTTCTTAATGATTTTCTTAGAAAAGATACCTAGAAGGCAGTTACTTAGCTCAGGATATGAAGACTTTAGCTAGCTCCTGACATTTGTCTGCAGATTAATTTCTTCCCAGCCCTATGAGGCTCCCCCAGCAACTGAGTTAACCCTGAGCCAGGGGTTTGATCGGGTGGAGAAGGTGACAGGAGGGAAATCACGCTGGCCTCTCCTTCCCTTTCCTTTTTCCCTCTTTTTTCCTAAACCACACACCCGCTGCCTGGACAGGCCTGATTTACCCTTTAATTCTTTCTTATATTAAAATACTGGAGCAATTAAAATTCTTTTAAGATTGTATTCAATTCAGAATTCTAGCTATAAAAAGCAGAAAGGGGACAATGTAGGAAGAGATGGAGGGAAGGAGGAAAATTCTCAGGTTTGGATACATGGAGATAGATCCTTTATGGAGACTCATTGTTTCCTAGCGGTGTCTTAGCTGTTTCATGAATAATTTACTGGATGGGTATCATTTGTTCCCCAAAGGAAGTGAGGACGTATTTTGAAATTTGTCAATGATGCAAATTTCCAGTGTGCTGTTCTATGCACTTTCCAGGCTTCAGCCCTCACAGCAAACCCAGAGTAGTTTCTATTATTAGCTCCATTTTGCAGAAGAGGAACAACTGCCCAAGGTCACATAGCTGGTAAGCAGAGGAGCTGGACTAAAGCCTGAACTCCAACCAGGAAGCGGTAGGTACTGGGTTACCCTTCACCAAGCAAATAAGGATCCATGTATTTGCATTGGCCAGACTGTGCTACTGTTCTATAATCGATTTACTCTTCACAAAACCCTTGTGCGAGTAAATGGTGGGGCTGGTACTCAAAAGTCCTGGGTCATTCCTCTGTGTCAGGGTCCCTGGGATTGCGCACAAGGATGCAAGAGTATGAGAGATTTAAGGACACCAGGAACTGCCTTTCCCAGCACCCGTCTGAGATGATCCCCTGACAAGAGGTCATGGCTGCTTTCTCCTCCCCACTTCTTCACTCACGTTTTCCTCCCCCACTTCATTAAGCAGACATGTTTCTCACACTAAGCAGTAGGGCTGTGGAGGTCCTGGGATGTAATAACTTCGCTGCCCAGAACAGCGGGAGAGGACAATCAAAAATACAGGTCTAGGGCCGGGGATTTAGTTCAGTGGTTCCGCCGCCTGCTGTGCAAGCTTAAGGACCCAAGTTCGATCCCCGGTACCAAAAAAAAAAAAAAAAAATACAGGTCTACAGGGCATCTTCTAACAAGTGAGCAAGCACAGGTCCAGGGGAGGGTTCATGTCTATCCCCTTCATATCCATGCTCCTAGGATGAGCACTGTGGCTTCATGGATGGGTGCTCTGATTCCATGGAAATGTTCAGAACTCAGATGAATTATAGGGTGGGGAGCAAGAAGGATGCCAACTATTGTTTGATAACCTTGCCTCTTCCATTCCCTAACTGCTGGGAAAAAATCGCCAAACTCAAAAGATCAAGGGCAAGTTGCAAGAAAGCAAAGCAAGAACACCACAGAACAACAATGAAGGCAGCAGAAGCTTATTTCTTCCATGTTGCACACTCACATCGAGGCTGCTAGCCTTGCCTAGCATCTGGGCTGAAGAAGCGTGCTGATAAGGACTCATCCTTGCTGCCTCTGTGCTGCTGTCAGTAGTGAGGAAGACCTCGAAAAGTCCTCTCCTTCTTCACCTTCACCTTGGACAGTGTCCAGGGGCAGAACTGAGAGCATTGCAGAGAGGGAGGCGGAGTTGCGTATTTGTTTGACAGAGGACTGGTACAACTGCAAGTAAAAAGGACCTTGTATAAGGTCAGGTAGTATTGGGCATTTTCCTGGACATTAATTCCATTAATTTTAAACAGCATAGAGCTGACATACAGTTAACTTCACGTAACACCCACGCCCACCACAAACTTATCCATAGCCCCTTTTAGATTCCTCCTCCCTTCTCCCTTCCTGTCTCCCCACCCCATTCTCAAGCAGTCACCATAGGCTTCCTGTCACTATAGATTGGTTTTCAACAGGAAGATACTGTACACCCTCCTGTAAACAGTTCATTTAACAATGATCAATTAATACATGATTTGTAAATCCTGAACTTTGTGGTATACTAAGGTGCTTGCACACTCTCTTGTTATCTCCCCCCTCCATTAATTTTTTTCATTCTAGAAATAACTCACATTCTACACCCCTATTCTCTAAACTTTGGCTTTAGGGCAGGGATTTAGCTCAGTGGTGCCACCGCCTACCTCGCAAGTGCGCAAGGTCCAGATTTCGATCCCCGGTACCCCCCCCAAATAAATAAATAAATAAAATTTGGCTTTGTATTTAATAATTGTCAAAGTTTAACTATTTCTGCAATGTTTGATATCAATGATAATCATGATATTTCAATACAAAGTAAAATTTTGACAGATATTACAGTCAGGACATTTTTAAAAATGTTTTTGGAGTTCTAGGGAAAAATTAAAATAACTCAAACATATTTTAGTTTCAGAGAAACAGGATAGAGTGAGCAACAAAATGCTTTCAAGCTTCAAAATATATTACATTAGAATAAAATTTTATGGGGGAAATAGAATGGTATACAAGTTTAAAGAACTACAGAAACAATATATATATTTCCAATTGTTAAAGAACACTTCCTGTACTTTTTTAAATGCCTTGCTTTTTAGGTTCTATTTGCTACATTTAAAAGAATAGTTTTATTTTGTAAATGTCAGTATTTACAGTATGCCAGAAATTATATCTTTTGCAGCTCTTTAAACTGGATGAAAAATTCTGGATGTCAATGTGAAAATGGTGAGGGTGTAACCAAATTATTCAAAATCCTTTCAGAAAATATGTGGTAAAAAAATATGTAATACTAATAGCCACTGCTCTACCCACCAGCACCTCACATAAAAAGTGAGGAAGAAAATGCCTGGTGCCAGTTAACAGGGGCAGGTGTGCTGTTCAGGGAACTGGTTTTATTTTACCTCAGCACTGTAGACTCTTTCTGGCTCAGGCAGGCAAACACACATGTGTCAAACTCTTCTGTGAAAGGGATTTAAAGATGAAGCTCCTCAGCCCAGCTAATCTTACATCTTCCTGTCAGGGTACTTGGGTAGAGGCAGAAGTTGGAAGAGAAACATGGGCCAGGAGAGTTAGTGCTGAACGACACCTGTGGGTACCCAAGAGCTGGTGAGCTCCTATGGCTGCAAGAACCTGAGTCAGCCTGTTCAGGAAGAAAGCAAAATGGCTGAATATCCAGAGGAGAAGGCTCCTCTCTCACCCCTCCCCTCCCCCTCCCCCTTTCCCCTTCCTCTCCCTTCCCCCATCCCTTCCTGTTCCCTCTCCTCCTCTCTTTATTCTTCTCAGCAGTCCAGCCTCTTACCTGTGGAGTCTTTGTGTGTCTGCTCTCTTCATCTATCACTGGTGACCAATTTTATTTTCATTTTTCAACCCAAATTATGCAGAAAACCAATCCAGTTGATGAAACTGGTTTGCATTTGGGCTTTTGGGTAGAGTCCTTACATGCCTGCTTGGGCAGAGTCCTTCATTTATGAGTTATAATTGTGTCGGATGGAGGAGGCTCAGAGAAGGCAGGTGGTGGTGGAAAGACTGTTTTCAGAAATTTGTGAATGTTAGACTTGACAGGATGGAAACTGAGACATTCACCTGTCGTTGTCTCAGGTTGAATGGCTATCTGGTCATCCTTGTGTCCCTCTCATAAATCATGTAGAAATAGCAACTTGGATATCACCATTCAGGGTTCTTGTTCCCATGCAGACATTAAAATGAAGCTCAAGAGAGCATAGGTGCTTTCTGTGTCCCAAAAGATGCTGTACACAGGAGCAGTGATCCTACCCTTTACAGAAAACAGGTGCTGGCAGAGGCTCCAAGGGAGCCAGGGAGGAACTCCAGGAACCCTTCGCTTTTTCCCCAATATCTGAGTCAGAGAAAGGAACGGAGAAGGGATAATTGTAGTTTCCCAGGCAGCTTTGATGTTGAGGGCTTGAGAATCATGTCCAAAATGTCTGTCTTGCCTGCCGGATTCAGTTCCCCAGCACTGACTTTCTTCTTTGAGGTCAGCCCCTGAAAGCCATTATGATGGTGATGATGATGTATTATTATTTTGAGACGGGGTCTCATTATGTAGTTCAGGCTAGCCTTGAACTCACTATGTAGCCCAGGCTGGCCTTGAACTTGCTTTAATCCTCCTGCCTCAGCCTCCCAAGTGCCACCACACTCAGTGAAAATCCTTATAATTCACTGTTAACCAGTCACTTTAGCTAGAATCTGCTTATCTCATTGTTTTTGTTTTGTTGGCAATGGGCATTGAACTCAGGGCCTTCATTCTGAGCTAAGGGCCAGAAGGCCCTTTCAAAAAAATTTTATTTTGATAAAGGGTCTCTCTAAATTGCCCACCCATACTGGACTCAAATTTGCTATCTTCCTGTCTCAGCCTCTAAGAGTGCTGAGATTACAGGCATATGCCACCACACCCAGCTTGATTGATATTTTTCTTTCTTTCTTTTTTCTTTTCTTTTCTTTTTTGTGGTACCAGGGATCCAACTCATGACCTTGCACTTTCCAGGCAGGCATAGCACCACTGAGCTATGTCCCCAGCCCTCAATTGGTATTTTAAAGAAAAGAGACCCAGGAAACCTAGGACATCAAAACAGACAAGATTTTATGGCAAAAGAAGGAGGAAGAGGGGGAGAGAAGCAGATGAGGATGGAAGGGGGAGGAGTTGGGAGGGTCCTCAAGGGCTGTATGATCTGGAGCCTGGGGGTCCAGAGACCAATGAGGAAGAAGTGAGTTCCTGGTGAGGGAGGGAAGTCACCTCAGCTGAATTCCTTGTTCTCCTAGAATTCGCCCTGCCACTAAAACTGGAGAATCACTTCTAAGGAGACACCATCTGATGTTCCTGTAAATTGGACACAATTTTAACTATATATACACTTTGATCAATCTTATTTCTCAGAATTCTCCTACCATGATAGTTATGCACGTATAAGGATAGTCGTTGCAACATTGTAATGCAAGGCTGAAAACTTCCTAAAAGCCAGTTATTGGGTGTTTGGTTAAACAAATGAAAGGGCAATCCTCAGGGAAAGACCGGCACAGAAAGCCCTTGAGGACCTACTGGGGAGTGAAGGAAGCTGGGGTGGTGGCCGTGTCTGTCACTCAGAATGCGCTCCTGGGCAAATGGTAAAATCAGTGTCAGGTTAAAGTGCAGGCCAAAGCCAAAGAGTACCATGTCAGCATGAAACTTCCAGAATGCAAGAATGAATCTGAAATTTCATCCAAAGTGCAGAATGTAATTGCTCTTGTAATTTTGCTATTATGATTGCTAAGGGTCAAATTTTAAGGTTACCATTACTGCACAGTGGCAGAACTTGCTTGGCATGGTCAGCTGCAAGACGCTCTGGTGGTTCTTGATTGCTGCTTTACCATAAGGAAACTGATGCCCATTTCTGCTGAGCCTGGTGAAGAAGCCAAGTATTTTTGATATTAGTCTTCCTGTGCTTTTCTTTATTCTTTGAATATTTCTTCTGATGTCTGGCTCAAAGATGATTTAATCATGGATATTGTACATTATTAGGTAATTTTTTCTGCTTATGAGATGTTCAAGTAGAAAAGCTGACATTCTTTTTTTAAAAAATTCATTTTGATACAATGTGCATTCCCAAATACAATTTATTCTTGAAAGACTCGTAACCTAAATGGAATTAAATTCCAAAAATCAAACATAATTCTTAAAGATTATTTTATTGAACATAATGAATGTGAAATAGACACCAAACCAGCTGACAAATATTAGAATTATTATTTAATCAAATCTCTATTATTCTGCTTTGGATTATTAAAAATTGTTTAGTATATATTGGCTTATTGTGATTATAATGTTCCTTTTAAAGTTACCGAGTTAACATTCTCAAAATTCTTTTTAACTCAGCCTTTTCCTAATTTATTTGCTATTTGAAATATTTGAATATAAAATTAGTACACAATCATTAGTTATGGTGGCATTTATATCTTACAATATTAAATCTAATCTATATATAGTTTAACTAATTGATAGTATTTTAACATATGAAGTATAAAAGATTTTTCCTACAAGATTCATCTAAACACTTATACTGAATAATCAATAAATCTAAATGGCATGCCTTGTGCATATGCTAATATGATATACTGATTAGATACAATGATAACATTACCCATGACTGTGGATCTGGCACAAGCTCAGGGTAGTAAAAGTGATGATGAGTAATAAGCATTCAGCTATTTAAACTTCCAAAAGCTGAAGTCAAAGGCCAGTTAACAGATTGGGGCTGATGATTACCAAGGCTGAAGCCAGACTGTGGTACATTTTATATGCACGTGTACATAAACAGAGATAGTCCTTCTACTTGGGATGTTTGGACTTAACCACTTTTTGACTTTATGTGATAGGAAAGCAATATATATTCAATAGAAACCACACTTTGAATTTTGAACTTTGATTTTTCTTTTCCTGGCTGGGATTCACACTATGATATTCTCTTACAATACTGAGCATAGGCAACAAGCTGCAACTCCCAGTCAGTGATGAGAGATTTTTCAAGTCTTCATTAAAAATAGTCTTCATTAGCTAGGCGTGGTGGTACACACCTATAATCCCAGCACTCGGGAAGCTGAGGCAGGAGGATCACTGTGAGTTCAGGGCCAGTCTGGGTTACATAGTGAGTTTAGGGCCAGCCTGAACTACAAAGGGAGACCCTTCCTCAACCCTCTCCCAAAATAGTCTTTGTGTGAGATGATATAGCTCAACTGTAGGCTAATGTAAGTATTCTAAGCATGTTTAATACAGGCTAAGCTATGGTACTGTGTACAGTAGGTTAGGTGCTGTCTTGGTTAAGTTTTCTTGTTGCTGAGACAAAATACCTGACACCTAAAGTTAAAGGAGGAAAAGTTTATTTTAGCTCACAGTTTGTAGAGGTTTCAGTCCATAGTCAGTTGGTTCCAAGGCAAGGCAGCATGGCAGAGGGGTGTCACAGAGGAGAAACAGTCCATGGTGTGGGAAGCAGAAGACAGTAAGCAGCAAGCAGCAGCAGCAAGCTGGCTTTCCCTCTCTCCCTTTATATCCCATTCAGGCTATAAGCCTATTGATTGGGGCTTCCATTATCCACACCTAGAATGATGCTAATTCCATTCAGTGGACTAATTTAGTACCACGCAACCTTAGTCCCAGTATCACACACTCTAGATCCAGCCAGCTGTGAAAAGCCCCACCTAAGAGCACATGAGACTGGGGGGACATCTAAACACAAGCTGTAACAAGTTCAATAGACATATTTTTGACTTACATAATTTTCAATTTACCCTGCAGTTTATAGGGATATTAGTCCAGCATAACTCAAGAAACATCTATGTACATACAACTGTATGCATGTGTATGTGTGTGTGCCCCTAGCTGCCTCAAAGAAGGGAACTTGGAAAGAGGGAGTCAAGAACTGTAGACTCATATCACAATAATGTATCATGTACCTTTTAAAAAATAGAAGAAAGGATTTTGAATATTTTCATGATAAAGAAATGATAAATGTTTGAGAAGCTCAATACATTTACCTGGATTTGAACACTCACAAGACATGCATGTATTTTAATATCACCTAGTACACCATAAATATGTACAACTTTTATATATCAGTTAATATTTCTTTAAAACTAGGCATAGTGTGCACACCTGTAATCCCAGCACTCAGGAGACTGAAGCAGGAGGATCATGCCAGCCTGGACTATATAACAAGATTCTGACTCAAAACAAAACAAAAAAATATATATATAATACTACCAATTTTAAAACATTTTTAATACCAAGGGCTGATCAGACCCTCAGCTACCTTTTGGGGGGAGTGATGAGGAATAGAAAGAAAAAGATAGGGCCAGAGATTTAGATCAGTGGCACCATGCCTGCCTGCCTTGAAAGCGCAAGGTCCTGAGTTCAATCCCTGGTACCAAAAAAAAAAGAAAGAAAAAGAAAAAGACAGACACAATTTTCAAGATACAAAGGGGGAATTGGGAGGAGACCTGCCTTTAGCAGACAGACTCAAATAAAACTCTGCAGTTGGCCCACTATTATTAGCCAGTGAGAAGCATAGGGGGAGGGGTAGCATGCATTTCATGGAACAGGAACTATAGAGAATGGGTGAATAAGGACTAAATTAGTGAGGAAACAGATTTTCTCTACACCCAAAATGTCTGCATATTGACAACTGTCCTCAGCAGATGCTGTCTTGCCTCAAGAGTGCCTGATTATCACCATTCTGCCCATAGCCAGTGGGCATGCATATACTTCCCTGTTCCTGAGGCAAGATAACACGGACCTTGAGACTGTGAGATCTGAGTTAGTAGCCTAGTCCCCAACATTTTAAAAAGGGAACTCATTTCTTACTGTACATCATTTTGATCTTTTAATGCTATGCATGTATTCCTTATAAATGCATACCCACTGCACTCATTTAAGAGATTAAAATAGTATGTATTGAAGAAAAGCTGTGAACACACATTTGGGGAAGGCAATGTTCAAGAGTGCAGGTGGGTAAGCAGGAATTGGATGTGACCTGGTCACATTTAGGAGAGCTGTGAGCGACAAGCCTGTACCCCTGGGAGTCTCCTGGGGGAGACCTTCTTGGTGGGGAGTGGGCCCCTTTGGTTGGAGAGTGCTTGGTGCCAGCTGCTTAAGAAATTTCCAAGTACAGACAGGGTGATTATGTTCTGCCAGCCCTGCACACTAGTACATCCTAGGGAAAGTGAGCTCTTTTAGGGTATTTGGAAGGATCTTATGGAGAGGGATGAATTTTCCAACAAATTTCAAGCCCCCTCTTGTCAACATGGCCAAGAACTAAGTGAGGGCACATTGGCAGCTCAGGGAGGCTCTACTAGGAGGGTCCATATTGGTCTGGCTTGCAGGAGTCCTTCAGTGAACATCAGGGTTGATGGAGAAATGCAGATGAAGGCTCAGGGTGACCTGAGCCACAGGCCA